CAGAATTCAGAATTTCAGAAATTCTGAAATTTTAGACTTGGATCCAGGATCCAGGACCCAGGGACCCAGGGACCCAGGGACCCAGGGACCCAGGGACCCAGAGACCCAAGGACCCAGGGACCCAGGGACCCAGGGACCCATGGACCCAGGGACCCAGGGACCCAGGGACCCAGGGACCCAGGGACCCAGGGACCCAGGGACCCAGGGACCCAGGGACCCAGGGACCCAGGGACCCAGGGACCCAGGGACCCAGGGACCCAGGGACCCAGGGACCCAGGGACCCAGGGACCCAGGGACCCAGGGACCCAGGGACCCAGGGACCCAGGGACCCAGGGACCCAGGGACCCAGGGACCCAGGGACCCAGGGACCCTTCTAAATGTTTCTGAAAAGTTCAAATTCCCGCCAATCCCTCTGAAATTTCAGAACTCCTTATGCAATGGTATCACTGGCTCCTCCTCATAATTCTTCTTCTAATTCTCATCCCATTTTTCATCCAAGCATGGATTCATTTCTCAAAACGATTCTCGGATTCTTATGATTTGTCAAAAAATGCACCAAAGCGAAACGAAGTGTCCAAGGAGTTTTATGTGTGATCTATGGGACCAGAAAATTGGAGAAAAAATGGAAGAAATATTCAAATCGGCGAGTTTTTACAAAGTTTTTGAGGCATCTGAAATTAGGAAATTCAGAAATTCGGAAATTCAAAAATCCAGAAATTCAAATATCCAAAATTCGGAAAAAATTTTTCACTTAAAATTTTTCATTTTTCAGGGTCCACAAACTACTGGTGCATTATTCTCATCGACTTCTAATAATATAAAATAAAAATTTATAATGAAAATGTCATTTTCAGAATGCCTGAAACGTTTTTCTTGAAACTCTTTGAGTACAATGAATTGGTTTTTAATTGTAAACTTGAAGAATGGAAACAGCAATTTAAAATTTCCATTAAAAGAGTTCGTGAAAAAAAGAAAGAAAATTAATAATAATAATAGTTTTTAAATGATGATTAAAAAACTAATAATGGCTTCGCGTCACTTCAAAACCAGTCATTTCGAAACCAGTCATTTCGAAACCGAACAAAAAACGGTCACGAAAAAATGAAATTGAAAATTAGAAATTTTAAGTTTTATATTGCGTGCAAATTTCTCAGCTTCGAAACGACCGGTTTCGAAGTGTCGCGGTTTCGAAACGTCGCGGTTTCGAAGTGACACATAGTTTCGAAGTGACGCGGTTTCGAAGTGACGCGGAACCTAATTAATGTTTTTGTTTAATATAATCTACTTTAAAGTTGTTGAATTTTATTTAAAGACTTTTTACGTGGATAAAAAATTTCCGCTCAAAAACCATAGTTTTTGGCTGGAATTTGGTTAGAATTTCAGCACTAAAGTGAGTTCCCAGTTTCATTGATTTTTGGAGAATTCCACTATTTCAGAATTCAGTTTTTGATTTCCTGAATATTTGAATTTCTGAATTTTTTGAGATTCCGAAGTTTTTAAATAAAATGTTTGTAAATTTCAAAAATTCACCTTGGTTTGGTTTTCGGGTACAAACCCAAAATTTCAGAAAATCTCAAGATTCGATTTTTAGAGTTTTTGGATTTTTGAAACTTTAAATATTTGTTTTTCCAAAGTTTTCAGCCAAAAAAACATGAAAACACTTGTTCTATTACTTCTCCTTCAATTCCATCAAATCACCTGCTCCAAGAATTCCTCCGCGAACAAAGAAGTGAATTGCCATGACTGGTTTCCCGAGCCAATCACTTATCGATTGGACGAGTCGCATTCTCAATTAACTCTTGATTTCAAAATTGTCGATGATTTGATTTCTGATCGAGAAATCAATGAGTCCAATCAAATTGTCGAAGATTATGTGATTAGAATTTTGAATATGGAAAATGGATATGGAGGTTATTCCGATATTCTTGGCATCGTTTTCAAACATTTGGTGGGTCAAAAAATTTTTTTTTCAAATTTCCAGTGTCACCCAGGGACCCAGGGATCCATGACCCAGGAATCCAAAACCCAGGGATCCATGTCCCAGAGATCCATGTCCCAGAGATCCATGTCCTAGGGATCCAGGACTCAGGGAACCACGACCTAGGGGTCCGGAACCCAGCGAACCAAAACCCAGGGATCCAGGACCGAGGGATTCAGGACCTAGAGATCCATGACCCAGGGATCCATGTCCTAGGGATCCAGGATCCAGGGATCCATGACCTAGAGATAGATGACCCATGAATCCATGACCTGGGATCCGGAACCCATTGATCCAAAACCCAGGGATCCAGGACCCAGGGATCCAGGACCTAGAGATCCAGGACCCAGGGACTTTGGAACTTCTCAAAATTCATTTTCAACTTTTCTAGAATTTCAAAAATCTCGGACTTCTGAATTTCGTAGATTCTCTGAAAATCCAAACTTCCAAAAGCTTTTTTCTGAAGTTATTGTTTTTTTCAGCCGACCGTCCGCCAATTGATCATCTCCATATTCTGCATCAATACCGCAGTCATCATTTTTTCGATAATTTGGAAATTGGGATTTTCTGAAATTTTCGAAGTCCTCGGAATTGCGCTTCGCTTCTATGAATACCGATCTGGTCTCACGATAATTCCAATATTCTGTTGTCTGGGATTATTGATTTTGACTTCGAATTTAAGATCAAGTTCTGGATTTTTAATGGACGGAATTGATAATTTGGAATTGAAAAATGATGAAAGATTTATGCGTAAGTTTCGGAATTTTGCAATTTTGGAATTCAGAAATTCAGAAATTCAGAAGTTTTGAAATATTAGAATATCAGAAACTCCAGAAACCCTAAGACATTCCTGAGTTCTTGGGTCCCAGGGACCAGAGATCTAGGACCCAGGGACCCAGGACCTAGGGACCCAGGGATCCAGGATCCAGGGACACAAGGACGCAGGGATCCAGGACCTAGGGACCCAGGGATCCAGGACCCAAGGACCCAAGGACTTAGGACCTAGGATAAATTTAAAAAGTCCAAAATAATAATTCCGAATTTTGGGAATATTAACAAAACTTTTTTTATTTCCTGATACATTTTCAAATTCAGAAAACTGGGTTCAATCTTCAATCAAATATCGATTTTCAGCAATCCAAGACCGTGTGGCTCGGAAACTAGAAATGACTCCCTGTTTTTTCGACAAAGATTTTGCTCGAAACATCAAAATATGGCGAATCGAGGATCGATATCTGACCAAAGTTTTGAATACTACAATGTTAGATAAGGTGAAAGAACGGACATCCGGACAAACAGAAAATTTTAGATTTCAAAATTATAAATTTTAAAAATCTTGGTTTTTTTATAATCTAAAAATAACCCAATAAACTAGACATTTAATTTTAAACACCAAGTCTTTGACAGTGAGAAATTCATAATTTTCAGTTCAAATTTCTTATGGAAAAAATCTAATTTTGAATCTAAAAGAGTTGTTCAAATGAAAAATCGGAAACGAAAGTTTCAGACAGTTTTAAAAATTGATTTTTTGAATCTATTTTTTTTCAGCTTCTCCCAATTTCTGAAATCCAAAAACAACTCGATGATCGGGGGCCGTTTTTCTCCCTCAACAAGCCTCTAAGAGTAATGTTTAACGATGTTTGTGAAATTGTAGAAAAGCATGCGGGACAAATGATATTGAAATTAGAAGGAGATTTGAGATTTGGTATGTGGACCACCAAAAAACAAAGGACATAACTCAATTGAAACTAAAGATTTTAAATAGAAACAGAAATCAAACTGTTTTTTGAAATTTCAAAAAATTGGACTATTGGACTTGAAAAATCACCATGTTTGAAAAATTCCAAAAATTCCAAAAATTCATTAAAATTCAGAAATCCAGAAGTTAAAAAAATCAGAAATTCAGAAATTCAGAAATTCAGAAATTCAGAAATTCAGAAATTCAAAGATTAAGTAATTCAGAAATTCAGAAACTCAGAAATTCAGAAATTCAGAAATTCAGAAATTCAGAAATTCAGAAATTCAGAAATTCAGAAATTCAGAAATTCAGAAATTCAGAAATTCAGAAATTCAGAAATTCAGAAATACAGAAATTCAGAAATTCAGAAATTCAGGAATTCAGAAATTCAGAAATTCAGAAATTTAGAAATTCAGAAATTCAGAAATTCAGAAATTCAGAGATTCTATAAAATTCGAAAAGTTTGAACATTTCGGGCGATTCGAGAATTCGAGAATTTCTTAATTTCTGAATTCTTCCATTTCTCAATTTCTTTTCTGAAGTTTCGAATTTTTGAATCTTTGAATTTTTGAATTTTTGAATTTCTGGATTTCTCATATTCTGAATTTCTGAATTTCTGAATTTCTGAAGTTTTGAATTTCTGAATTTCTGAATTTCTGAATTTCTGAATTCCGAATTTCTGAATTTCTGAATTTCCGAAATTCTGAATTTCCGAATTTCTGAACTTCTAAATTTCTGAATTTCTGAATTTCTGAATTTCCGAATTTCCGAATTTCTGAATTTCCGAATTTCTGAACTTCTGAATTTCTGAACTTCTGAATTTCTGAATTTCTGAATTTCTGAATTTCTGAATTTCTGAATTTCTGAATTTCTGAATTTCTGAATTTCTGAATTTCTGAATTTCTGAATTTCTGAATTTCTGAATTTCTGAATTTCTGAATTTCTGAATTTCTGAATTTCTGAATTTCTGAATTTCTTAATTTCTGAATTTCCGAATTTCTGAATTTCTGAATTTCCGAATTTCTGAACTTCCGAATTTCTGAACTTCTAAATTTCTGAATTTTTGAATTTTTGAATTTCTGAATTTCTTAATTTCTGAATTTCCGAATTTCTGAATTTCTGAATTTCCGAATTTCTGAATTTCCGAATTTCTGAACTTCTAAATTTCTGAATTTCTGAATTTCTGAATTTCCGAATTTCCGAATTTCTGAATTTCCGAATTTCTGAATTTCCGAATTTCTGAACTTCTGAATTTCTGAATTTCTGAATTTCTGAATTTCTGAATTTCTGAACTTCTGAATTTCTGAATTTCGGAATTTCTCGATTTCTGAATTTCTCAGTTTCTGAATTTTCGAAAAAAAAAATCAATTCAAATTCTACAGAAAATCTTCAATTGGAAGTCGAAAAACTTCAAGAAGAATACAAAAAAATTATTCGAAAAGCAATCAATATTTCGATTCCATCCACAAAAGAAGCGATTGGTTCAATCGGTGGATTCGTTGAAAAATATCATCAAAATGTGATTTTGATTCCCAAAATTCACATTATCAATTTTTACGAAAAGTTTGTGGCGACAACTGTAGCACTTACTGTAGCAGTCAGTGCTACACTGACAGTGCTATTTGTATTGGAATTTGAGTTTAAAAGTGAGTTTTTTCTGAATTTCTGAAATTCCGAATTTTTGATTTCAAATATATTTTTTTCAGAAAAATGGACAAAAATTTTGGCGGAGATGGCGGTTTTTATCGTTATCATTTTTATGGTTATCAGCTTATTTCTATTTCTGTGAGTTACATGTTCTGAAAATTGGTCTTCCGATGTTTTCCCTGAATTTGCTGTTTTTGTATGGGTCATGTTAGGCCATTTTGAAGTGATGGCCTAGAAAACCAAACTTCCAAAAGTTAGGCCACCACCTCAAAATGGTCTAGAAATGGGTTATATGGTGTGTTTACTATGCCATTTTGACGTGGTGGCCTAACTTTTGCAACTTGAGTTTTCTAGGCCACCAACTTTTTTGGCCTATAAAAGACCTGGTATTCATTTGGTGTGTTTTCTAGGCCATGATGGCCTAACTTTCACAAATTGAGTTTTCTAGGCCACCATGTTCAAATGATATAAAAAACACATCATGTGCATGTTGCGCATTTTTTCGCCAAAAAAGCGATGGCCTAGAAAAATCAAGTTGAGAAAGTTAGTCCAAGTCGTTACATTGTTCTTTTTTTCAAAAAATTCAATAAAACGACGATGCTCCGAAATAAAAATGACCCAAAATTCATGAAAAATGATCCAAAATTTATGAAAAAAGATCCAAAATTCATGAAAAAATGATCCAAAATCGATAAAAAATGATTCAAAATTCATGAAAAATGGTCCAAAACACTGGGAGATAGGTCTAAAATAAGGAAAATTATGAAAAAATCTTTCGAAAATGGTCGGAAGATTCCTGAAAATGTGGACCAAAATTTTAAAAATAGTCCGAAATTCGTAGAAATTAGTCTAAACTCATTGTCCAAAAGTCATATAAAATTGTTCCAAAATTCCTTTAAAGGTGGGGGGACATGAAAAAAAAATGTTCTCGAAATTCCGTTCAAAGATGCCTCTCGAGGAGTTGAACTTGTGAAGGCGATGATTGAGGGTGCGGCGCCGCTGCCGACTGAGCCACGCGGGCAAAGAGAAAGCGCACGCCCGATTGCATACATAAAGGCGAGGACGACAGCTGTACGCAGAGTGACATTAAGCGTTGTACACCGTCACGGTAGAATGCATACTCTAGCTACAAAAAAACTACGAAAAATCTCCTGTCCCCCCACCTTTAAAAAACGGTCTGAAATTCACTGAAAAAATTATTTTAATTTCAGATTGCTCATCTGCCGTATAACATTCACTGTGATGGTCCATGACCAAGTTCGAAAAGATAGCTTTGCAATTTTCAAAAAAGCGAATCCAACGAAAATTTCGAAAAATAAGTCCATAAACTATGGAGAGTTATTGGATGTCGACAGTACTCCACAATCAATTGAAGGAGCCAAACTGTTCGAATCTAATCAAAAATTCAATGAATCTGTGGAGAGATTGGCGGAAATTATGAGTTTGGAATTTGAGAAATATGTCGAAAAATCGTGTGAAAAATCCATTAAAACTGTGGAAGAAATTGAAAAAAAAGTGGAAAAGACAGGATGTTGGAGAACGAAGGGCTTGGATGGTTTTCTAGAAATGTAGGCGTTTTTCTTCAGGATTTTGGGTTTTTCTAAAAACTTGAAGATTCTGAAAATCTGAAACTCCAAAATTCTCGATTTGAAAAATGTAGAAATTCAAAAATACAAAAATTCAGAAGTTGGGAAAAATTGTGTTCCTTTTTTTTGGTCCTGGGTCCTGGGTCCTGGGTCCTGGGTCCTGGGTCCTGGGTCCTGGGTCCTGGGTCCTGGGTCCTGGGTCCTGGGTCCTGGGTCCTGGGTCCTGGGTCCTGGGTCCTGGGTCCTGGGTCCTGGGTCCTGGGTCCTGGGTCCTGGGTCCTGGGTCCTGGGTCCTGGGTCCTGGGTCCTGGGTCCTGGGTCCTGGGTCCTGGGTCCTGGGTCCTGGGTCCTGGGTCCTGGGTCCTGGGTCCTGGGTCCTGGGTCCTGGGTCCTGGGTCCAAAAAGTCTGGAATTAAAAAAAACTGAAACTTTTGGAATTTTCGGACCATCTGAAATTCTAGGACGTTCAGAAATTTCCAGACTCAACGCCACCAAATCCACCATCTGCTCATTTAACGAAGAGGTCAAATTGAATCCAATCGATAAATCGATAATTAGAGAGACGGCTTATTCGAAATGGGTCGAGGCGTTGGTTCCATTGAAAGGTCTTCCAGTTATTCGAAATTCTTCTATGGAAATCGTGAGAAGTCCCATGCAGATTTATTTGGTTTTTGAGAATCCCTCGAAAAAATTGAGGTGCGCGGATTTTTGAATTTTTTTCCTGAAACTTTTTTGTGGTGGCCTGGAAAACCAAATTTGCAAAAGTTAGGCCACCACTTCAAAATGACCGAGAAACTTTCAGACCAACAATTCTGGAACACATGCTGGATATGGCTGTTGGAATTGGGAAAATGGCTCCGATTTATTTCATTTTGTCTATCTATTTCATGTGTATTCTGCCCATTATGATGGACCAAAATTCGGAAGATGGAGGAGGAGGATCAGATGAAAAAACGCCAAAAATCGATTCAAAATCGAAATCGTAATTTTTTTTCAAATTTTTGAAAAAATCGATTTTTTGAAATTTTGAACTTAAGACCATTTTTCATGAATTTTGGACCATTTTTAATGAAATTTAGGCCATTTGAAATTTTTCCAATTTTAATTTTTTAAAAATTTTTTAAATTTTCTTTTTTTTTCAGTTCCAGCATGGAGAAAAGTAAAAGCCTGAGCAATGAGAAATGAGTGGAACTTAAATTTTTCGAATAAAATCAAATTAATTAATTTCAAAAACACAGAAAATAGTTAAATTTTACAATATAAAGTATGGATCATGGAACAGTAGGGAATTTGAAAATTCTAGTAATATGATAAAAAATGGGTGAGAATAGTCGAAAAAAATCAATTAAATCGATCGGAATCTCTTGATTTTCGATGAAATCGATAATCGATCGTCGTCACCATCGTCGTCGTTCAAATGGTAGTCGTTCTCGATCGATTTGTAAAAATCGATAACCTGGAAAAATCGATATTTTTGAAAATTCAAAATTTTCAATTTTTTGGAAATCTTAAAATTCCAGGATTTCATTGAATTTCAGAAATTCCGCTGTTTTTGATTCACCAAGGATAATAAGCTGTGGTTACTACGTGGGAGTACAGTACAATGGCAACCCGGGTTAATGGATAAAATCGATAATTTTTGACCTAGAATTTCTGTGGTTACTACGTGGGAGTACAGTACAATGGCAACCCGGGTTAAGCGATAAAATCGATAATCCTTTCAAACCTTTGAATTCGCTCTCACACACGAAACATCAAATCCAGTAATTCGAATTGCCGCCAGGCTCCTGGCTCTCGACAGTGCCACGTAGGCCTGGCCGTCGGCGAAAACGCGCTCCAGCGAAATTTCAGCACAATCCAGTGTCATTCCCTGGGATTTATGGATTGAGATGGCCCATGCCAGCTGAAGGGGATACTGTCGACGGATGTATGGAACGTCACTTCCTGGGACACGAATCGAGAATTTCGATCGACGAATCTGGAAATTTTTGAGATCTTTGGGACCATTTTGGGTCATTTTTTTTTGAATTTTGGACCATTTTTTACAAATTTTGGGCCATTTTTCCCACCTCAATAGCCACATTTTGTGCCACAAATCGCACAATCGGGTTTCCATTTTCTCCAAATTTCTCCACAAATCCTCTCGAACCATTACACAATCCCTTGAAAACGTCCAAATTCTTAATCAACATCACTTGTGATCCCTCCTTCAGAATCAACGTCTTCACAGCCATCGTTCGACATTTCGCGTCGTTGAATTCTGAATCGTCGTAGGCGTGGAACGTCTTCTGGACGCCTTCTGAATTCTGAAGTGACGTCTGATTGATGCGTTCGGCGTCTTCTGAATGCGTACAGAGCTTCGTTGGGATCACGTGGGCGGGAAATTCGTTTTGGGAGGAGGCTTGAAGGCGGTCCGCCGATAATTGATCGCATCTGGGAAGTTCAGAATTTTTGAAAAGAAAAAAATTTCTTTCGGAAAATTTTCAAATTCAGAGAAATTCAAAAAAATCTGAAAATCTGAAAAAATCGATTTTTCGAAATTTCAGAATTTTTCAAAAATTTAAAAAACTCACTTTCCAATTCTTACCGAATTCAAAATTTCGACAAATTCCATATCATTCTGTCTTTTCACATTTTTCAGCACTATCGTTAGCTGAACACATCGGCTCCATGCTTCGCTCTGAAAAGCAAATTCGCTCTGTTGGACTTTTCTTGTAATTTACTTTATAAGGTCGCTAGGAAACATTTAACGCTTGTTTCGCAACAGAGCGCATTTTCCAACGTTGAAAATTCAAAAAATTTAAAAAAACAGCCATTTTCTCAAAAATTCTCAATGGAGCGCATTTTTTCCCACTAGCTAACCTCAAAACAAAACACCGGCTCTTTATTATCCTTGGTGACTGGCGGCAGTTGAAAGAAATCGCCAGTGATAATCAATTGAATTCCGCCGAACGGCTCGTCGTTGTTCCGGACCGCCCGTGCCACGTATTCTAGAATTTCGAAGAATTCCGAATCGATCATTGAGATTTCGTCGATTATCAGATGAGCGCATTGTTTCCATTGTTTGACCTAGAAAAATCGATTTGAAAAGTCAATAAAACCGATGAATTCCCGTAGTTACTATGTGGGAGTACCGGAGATGGACACCCCTCTTCTCCCCGCTAATCGATAAAATCGATAACTTGTGACCTGAAAGTTAGGCAAAAATTTAGTTAACGTAGTTACAATGTGGGAGTACAGGCTTATCCAAAAAAAGCGAGACATGCTCAATAGAGCGCACTTACCATATGCGTGTGCCGAAGCACCTGTTGAAGACATTGCTCAGCGGTAGCGTTTTCATAACGGAATCCGCAAAACGCGTGGAGGGTGATACCACCGATTTGAGAAGCGGCAACACCTGAAAGTGGGCGGCGCTTTCTAAAAGTGGGCGTGGCTTCGTCTCTAACCTGTAGCCGCAGTTATATATGTGGATCCGGCAGGCAGCATTTCAATGATTCTCCTCAAAATAACCGATTTTCCAGTTCCAGCGCTCCCCGTGAAGAATACACTGACACGACTCTGAAAATGCGCTCTATTGAGAAGTTTCGCGGTGGAGCGCGTTTACATTAATCACACATCGAACGACGGATTTTTGCTCGTTGGTCAATTGGATTCGCTCTGTTATCGATGGGGCGTCTTTGAGAGGTTTTAGAGAGGTCAGCGCCTGAAAATTAAGACCATTTTTAATTTTTATCAATGGAGCGCGTTTGCTACCTCGGATTGTTCCTTGTCACATCTGGCAAAGCTAGTCATTCGTTTTAGGCTAATCGATCGATTTAAAATTCGATTTTCGAGATTTTGGTTCGTCGAGTTTCGTCGTTTTGGCGTCGTCGCCGTTTTGGAGCCGTTTGAAGACGTCGAGGCGCTAGAAGCTAGGGACGATGGTTCACGGAGTCTGAAAATGCGCTCCGTTGGACTTTTTTTGGCTTTTGACCGAGTTGTTAGAGCTTTTTGCAATTACGCTCTATTGGACGTTTTTTTTTGAATTTTCGCTTTTTCTAGGCGATTTTTAGCCATTTTTATAAGATTTTCAGCCTATTTTAGCTGTATTTTTGAGCTGATTTCAGGTTTTTAGCATATGCGCTCTATTGGACTTTTTAGAATTTTTTTGGCAGGAATTTGAAATTTCGATATTTCTAGGCGATTTTTAGTCATTTTTTTGGGATTTTCAACGTATTTTAGCTGCATTTTAAACTGTTTTCACGTTTTTAGCAAATGCACTCCGTTGGACTTTCCGAAAACTTCTTGGCGGGAATTTGAAAATTAATTTTAGGGCGTTTTTCAGCCGCTTTTTAGTTTTTTCCGTGTATTTTAGCTGTATTTTTAGAGCTGTTTTCAGGTCTTTTAGCAAATGCGCTCCGTTGGACTTTTTGAAAAAAAAATTTGGCGGGAATTTCATTTCGATTTTTCTATGCGATTTTTTACTGTTTTTCAGGTTTTTCAGGGCCTTACGGCTTCATTTTTGAGCTGTTTTCAGTTTACGTAGCATACGCGCTCGGACTTTTCGAAAACTTCTTGGCGGGAACTTAAAATTTCAATTTTCAGACGATTTTTCGACTTTTAAAGGTTTTTTAAAAAAGATTTTTGAGTCGCTTTTCGCCGATTTTAGGCTTTTTTCTCGGTTTGTTACAGTTTTAAGCCTATTTTCAAGCTTTTCTTGGCGATTTTTAGCGATTTTTTGAACAATATTTTAATGTTATCAATAGAGCGCGATTACTCACTTTTTCACTTTTCTCATCTCGCCTACTGTAAGTGGACTGAGCACATTGAACACTGCAGGTGGTCGTGAGAAATTTTTTGAGCTGAAAAATGAAAATTTCAGAAAACATTTTTTTTTTAAACCAATTTCCAGCACTAACACTGCTGAAATTGGCTGTTTTTCAGCCTTCATAATATCCAATTTCGCTTGAAGGGACTTCATAAAAACGTTCAATTTCCGCGGTGCACAATTGAACATTTGCAGCATAATCGACCTGAAAAATGGGCATTCTTAGGGGAAATTTTGGCGGGAAATTTGAATTTTCGGGTCTAAAAAGCCTCACATCGATGGAATCTCTACAGTACACTTTCCATTCGCCACATTTTGCAAATGAACGACGGCATCGGTGGCATCGTAGCTGACAACAGCCGGTTGGCCAGTTTGACTGGTTTTTAGCTCGATTTGGAGGTGGATTTTTCTGGAAAAAGAGTCAAAATTAAAAAAAAAAAAGTTCAAAACCTATTAGAATTCCTTCCAACTGTCAAAATTGCATTTTTCGCATTGATCGGCGTTTTTTTCTTCGACGACGAGGTGGATTCGATGCGAAGCGAGCAGGTAAGAGTGTAGCAATATGTGCAGTTCGATGGACTTTCACTTATTCCATCGTTTTCAGCGTTTTCCAGATTTTTATTCATTGAAAAACGCGAAAAAAGTGCCGGGAAATCGCTAAAAAGAGAAACAAATGATCCAACTAGATTTAAAACTCGCGGCGAAAAACCAGTGCGACAGGGCGCGCTTGCATTGTTTGCAGTTTTTTGAAGGGAAAATGAGAAAAATCTGGAAAATTATGCGATAAAAAGAGGGAATTTAAAGGAAAAACTATGAAAATGTATAAAATACACTTAAAACTAAAACAAAAATCTGAAAAAAACTCTAGAAATTTAAAAAAAAACCGTTTTTTTTTTGAAAATCCAAAATCCATTCGTCACCCAATGATAAATTTTGGCATGTCCCTTTAAGGTACTCAATCGTTTACCGTAATCTACTCAGTTAAATAATGATTTCAGCGCTTTTTAAGCAATTTTTCAATGTAAATATTGGGAAAAAATAAGAAAAAATAGGCTTAAAAAATTTTTCAAAAAAATTTTAATCTAAAATTTTGGCTAATTAGTTTCTTTTTTCAATTTTTTCTGTGCAAGACTACGGTAAGCAAAAGTTCATTGCGGACTTTTTCCTAAATTCGAAAATTCTCGACGTTTTTTTTGGGATTTTCTTACGATATTCGTGCAAAAATGAGTGCTCCAGGAGCATCAAACATGATTGCGATCACGGGTAACAATTTAAAAAGTTGAAAAATCAATAAAAAAATCGAAAAAAAGTCAAATTTTCGTCTAAAAATCTCGAAAAAACATTTTTTTGGGCATTTTTTTTTCGAAATTTCGAAATGTTTGCCGATTCCAGACGAACAACATGCGGAAATCCTTCGCATTTTGGGCCCAATGAACTCATTCCAACAGGAATTATTGGCCCAAGTGGAGGAACAAGAAAAAGTGGTGCTGGAAGAAATGAAGCGGGAGGAAGAGAAGAAAGAGGAGATGTACACAAAATACAGACAAAGTCAAGGTAGTGTGAATTTCAGAGAAACAAGCAAATCTAAACATTTCAGCCGCCAGGAATGCTGCCGCCGAGTGGGCTGCTATCCGACGATTCCAATCTCTTCCAGAGGCTGAAAAACAACGGAAACGGGATGAAGCTCAGAGGGAAATGAGCGAATATTTGATTTCAAGAGAGGAATTTATGGGAATTTTGTATTTCTAGACTCAACTCAAATTTTGTTCCAGAAAGATCTGGAAGCGCGGATGGCAGAACAAGCAGATGAGGATTCAGAATGCTCCGACGAGGAAGAAGATGTGGACGACGAGGAGGGTTCTGAAGAGGACGAAGAGAGGAGGAAGAGGAGGAGGAGGACTGGAAAGACGCCTGGAAGAAGATGACTGGACACGAATGGGGAAATCTGACAGAAGAAATTTATGGACCGTCGAGAGAGGAGCCAGTGCCAATTATGGGACCAGAGGAAATATTTCGAAGACTTTGCGCGCCACAAATGGAGGCTTTGAATGGTAAAAATTGACATTTTTGGGGAATTTTGGGTACAGGGGTGGTCTAACTTTTGCAAGTTTCGTTTTCTAGGCCACCACGTTAAAATGGCGTTAGAAATGGACCTGACATCATACTTGTAATCCGGGCCTTCGCGGGACCTGCCATAATTTCTTTCAGAATCTAAATTTTCGAACCAACTAAATCAGATATGATAGAGTGGTCTTCTCTATGGGGAATCGAATCGAATCGAGTGATTTATATATGGAGAATAGGGCTATATAGGATGGCTGGGGCGCTTTTGGTGCATTTTTTCAACAAAAAATGGGTGAAAAGGCTGAAAAATTCGATGAAAAATGGAAAAAAAAATTCTAAAGGGAAACATTTCAAAACCTCAATGATCACATTTTCCTTGCGGAATTCTATTGTTTTTGGTGTCTAATTTTTTCTAGAAAAAAAGAAAAAAAAAAGCGAAAACTGGTACCGAT